TATATATATATATACTGCCACTGTGCCATCTCTATGAAGATGCTAGCTGCCTGGCTGATATACTTATCTCAATACTTTCTGAGCCACTCACCTACAAACAAGACAATCAGGCAACTAACATTTTCAGAAAAAAATCAGTAATTGCAGTCCTTCCAGAGGTCTGCTAGTATCAATGTGGTGCAAGTCAGATTGGGGGCTCTTTCATGCCAGATGAGATTATATGTAGTTCTATGTAGTTTGCATTTTTTTTGTCCAATCTAATGGAATGATACTACATTAAATATGGACTACTTACACCAGAAAGATGATGATATGCTGTATACAGTATTGTGAATGCACTGACCTTGTGTTTCCTATTCAAGTCAATCAAATGCCGAACTTCTTAACACATCACACTGCCTTCAGAAAATGCATGGCAACAAGTGTTAAAGTGTCTGTAACATTAGGTGTGTTGCATCAGGTATGAATGAATCCTAAAAAACTACCCTGGCAGACTGTAATATTTTAAAGGACCCTGTTCTACACACAAATTAGCAAAACAATATTGCTAAGCACTTTATTTTATTGAAACAAATTATGAGACATAGCAACTGCATACCGACAAAAGGCTAAAATATGACAAAGAGACAGACATACAGACAGACATTAAAACAAACCATACAGAGGAAAACAACTTACCTTTGATGATACTTTAATTCCAAGTCTATGTTGCTCCATTGGATCTAGTAATATATAGTCTACAATGGACTTCTTAATAGCATAGATATAGTTTTCCTCTGCCTCCTTAAAACACACAAAAATACAACAGATGAAAAAACCTTAAAAAAACAGATTTAACCCCTTATCTGGGGAAGTCCTATACATAGTGAAGCTCCATTACCATCATGAAAAACTTATAGCGTGCAGAGAGGGCTCACTATCAAAATTTGAGGATAAGTGGCTCCCATGGGTCCGATGGTCGGACACAAAAATGCCAGAGTTTGCTCCTGGAATATGTTAGAGCTGGAATATGTTAGACCTTATATTAGCATGATTATGGAACATCTGGTCGCAATTGTTAGACTGAACGTTTTGAGATGAGCCTTTATTATGTTTACTCAATACTGTAATATCGATTATTGGATTATAACGGACACAAAAATGCCAGAGTTTGCTCCTTATAGAGCTGGAATATGTTAGACCTTATATTAGCATGATTATGGAACATCTGGTCGCAATTGTTAGACTGAACATTTTGAGATGAGCCTTTATTATGTTTACTCAATACTGTAATATCGATTATTGGATTATATGCTGCCCGCAACAACTATATGATGACTGCTATTTGTGTATGCTTTTATTTTAGGTTCTTGTCATGTTTTTCTATTTTGTATTTACCTACTTTGTTACTGAATTAAGACCGAAAATTTCAATAAAAATCTATTGTTAAAAAAAAAAACAACAGATTTAGGCTGTATTGATTACTGGTACAATAATAGGACATAGATAGGAATAGGTAGAATTATAGCATATATTGCATTAAATGTAACTGACTTTTCAGGAAAGTCACCCCTTAATAAACAGATCGCACAAAGGTAGTATAAAATGTATTAATGCATAATGAGTATGGTTAATAACCATATCTCTGGGAGATGCCCTTATGGAGGCTTTTTTTTGGTAAATGAAGCTATTTTTAATCATTATTGGCCCAGTTTTTGGTAACAAAGGCAAGATATTTGTTTGGCAAAGACCGAATACTGCAAGGCTGGAGCAGAAAATAAGGTCACAAGAGAATTGTATCTGCCAATGTACATGATAATAAAAAAAATAGCTTTTTTATTACTTAGCTAAAGTAGAAATGGTGCCCAGGTTTCTTATTCAAATGTTTTAATCTGAGCCACAGGAATTTATACCCAAGTCCAGGATCCAGACTCACAGAGAAGGCAGATCTATTGCAGTTCTTCAAAGTGTATGTAAACTCTAACAATAAACTTCTCTTATTTGCTACCTTTTGGTTTGTTAAATATACCATCAGAAACATTATGTGATATTTGCTTAGGGAGTGCAGAAAATATAGTACAATTTGATCATGCCAGAAATTCAGAGCTGTCCTGTCTCATCTGCCTACTTCCAGTGTTATCTCAAAGAGAATAGTTAGTGCTCCTATTTTGTTACCTTAGCCTACAGAATATCATGTCTATGTAGTAAAAATCAGGAGAATAGGAGGGTGTGAGCAGTTGAAAAAAGACAACAGGCAAGAACTGACAGCACTCAGTCCACAAAAATGTTTTGTATTGTCTGCCCACAACAGGGCTTAAGAGCTGTGGCATTACTGGCTGATAAACAGGTACATTTATGTGCTCACAGGGTCTGAAACATGGGGACATATTTATATATTGCAGAGTTGTACTGCATGTGCAACCAAAGATAAAAGATACAAATCTCATGTCTATGGAACTCCTGTGTGGTGCAACTAGGCAGAAACAATTGATCAGACTGTTCATTAAACTGTTGCTTATTTGTTTTGTTCTTCCCATTTATAAGCAGTGCTGGCATCATCAACACTAATCTCCACCTTCCATCCCTCTCCATAGCTACAACCATGTTTGACCAGCCCAGCTAACCTTTCATGTTTGTGGAAGTATGCCATGGAACACTGTATAAGTGCAGTTGGACTCCCTATGCATGTTCAACCACCCTCAGATTTCTGGCAGCACCCATAGAGAGGTGGAGAAAAGACACTGGCCTCATGTCTTTGTTTGGGAGAAGAACAAAGAACAATTCCCTCAGAAACACCAATAAAGGAAGGAGGTTCCATGTGTGAATTAGTATTGATGTGAAATGACTATCCATCTCCTATTCTTTATATACAAAAATTAGTACTACAACTTCTCTGGTATACTACTTAGAAAGACAGTTTTGGCACTATCCCAAAAATAATCAGGCCAGGTTTTTTTGTTAAAAAAAAATATTAACTATGAGATCCTTACAATGTCCTTAAGGAAGACTTATACTTAAATGTTAACATAAATCAATGTCAACAAACTTGCTGAAATGGATGTTTAAGGATAGTCAGAGAAAATGCTGCTCTGGGCCCCTTTTCCCAAGACTGTGATATCAGCTGAAAGGTTCACACTGGCTAACCCCCCTTTTAGGCGGAAATAACTTAGCCAAACACTTTTGGTTTCATGACAAGCAAAACAAACACCACACAACAGTGTTTTCTCTAGGAAAGGTGTTTCCTGGTTTATAATACTCCAATTTTATCCAATTCCGAAAAACTGTAAATTGTAAATGGTTAGCACATCTGTCAGGCCTTAACTTTTGTCTAGAGACATTTTTTCACACTTCTTCTAAGGGGACCCAGATAATAATAAAACCAGAGAATATACTGTAGGTTTCACTCAACCCTACTTTATCTAAAACTGAAGTTCTTGCTGAACTTTTACTTTAAATTAACATTTGATCATATCTAGAGCACACACATGCACATCTAGATTCATTATTAGAAAAAGAGGATGCTCATTATGTCAAATCAACCAAAAGGTTTCTTTCAAGAAAGCCTACGGCTAGCAGACTGATGCAACATACAGACAATATACTTTAAACTGTTGGTTTTGGTGAGTGTCAACTAAATTTGCTATTACTCACAAATCAACAATCATCTGAGCTCATATAAGCAATACGTATATGTTGAGACCTATCAATTCTCAATTTCCTTGCATTCTATATTCCACAAGTTATTGAAAATGCTGATTATGATGTAAAATCCATAAACCATTATACTCTGGATCACTTTTTCAGGAAAGGAAATTATTGTAGTATAGAAAGTGCACTGCTAAAATGTAAACTCATACTGTATATTGTGATTATAAGAGTATACTTTTATTCATATTCAAATTCTAGAAATACTAATCTTGCTTATGCCTTACCAATTTATTCATGAAATGTGAATATATTTTTTTATAGAAATTCATCAAGCAAGGGGCAGGGGTGCATGACCTGTTGGGTGAGGATCCCATAGAGATTCCTACTCATTATTAGAAATTAGGTTAGTGGGTTTGTGGCTAACCCCCAGGGATTTGCAAACTTTTGGGTGTGAAAACCTTTCTGGTTCACTGCCAGAAAAAAGAAACAAGTTATAATGCAGTATATAGCCTTTGCCCCTGGATAACCCAGCCCCCTCACTATAAAAGGGTGGTCTTCCAGCAGCCATATTGTCAGTGTGTACCCTATAAATAGGCAGGACTAAAAAACAAGATTCATCCCTCAAATAAATCATTTGTGTTTATCACAGAGTTTGCAAACCTCAAGCACAGTTCTCAAAACTGTTCACTAAATTAACCCAGGCAGAATTTCTCATTCCTATTCATCATTAGAAAAGCCCACCTTATTACCATTTAGGGCTCAATTTCCTAAACTGTGAACTGTAAATGAAGTAAAATGAAGTGTTGCAAAGTGATCTTGGGCCTGATTTACTAGAGAAAGAAAGTGAACCCATGTTCATGTCAAACATTCAATCGTATGAAGTAGGGTTGCACAGATATCGAGTACAGTACTCGGTACAAGTACGAGTACATGTACCGATACTTTTGAGCTCCAAGACTAGACTAGAGAAAAATTCAAAAATTAGGAGACAGCTGTCATTTGTAAGGAGCACACGGAGCTCCTGGGATTTGTACATCTCTGTTTTAATGTACGATTTTGTTTTTATGAATATAAATTAAGGGATGCACAGATACCAGTTTTGCGAGGACGAGTACTTGCCGAGTACTTACAAGTACGAGTACTGATACATTTTTGTTTATTGTCATGCGACAGTTTTTCTAAAACAATACAGACTAATGATTTCAGGACAGTGGTGGAGCGCCAGAGCCAGGTCCCAGCTGCAACCGCTGCAACCCTGGTAGTTGTCATGAAAATGCCAAGTATCTGCACTGGTACTCGAAAAGTATCTGTGCATACCTAATATGAAGAATAATCTTTAATGAATTAATCATTTGTGCAAACTATATCTGAATCAAAGAGGGAAAGAGGGATTTTTTCTCACTTCTCAGATAGGGGATCTAAACTTTACATTTTTAACATCTCAAAACCTGAACTTCCAATTTTATCATGTTGCTTTCTTTTACAGTTTATAAACTTTTCCCTCTTTTATTGCTTCTCAGGATTTAAACTATCTCTACAGAGAACCAACGATAGTTTTATATCCATATTTACTATCAAATCTGCTTGTTTTTAAGAGTGGACCTATTGCATTAAAATACTGAACTGTAAAATACCAAAGCTTGTGATGTACTCAATCTCACTTAAAACTCCCATCAATAGTCTATCTGGAAAGTGGAAGCTAACAAAAAACTTTTATATTGAAAGGAAAAGCCTGCCATATCACATCTGGACACCAGCTGTTCTTTATTGCATACACATTCTCTCTAATAGAAGAAGCTCACAAGCTGCCCATGAATCTGTTCTTCTCATTAATGTGCAATATTACCATCATAATCACTTACTGTTCTAAAACTTGTTCTTAATAAATTAATTTCTGATTAATAAGCACTCTAAACTTGGATCATTATTTACATAGGTGTAGACATCTTACAAAATATTCACATGGCCAAGACAGATACAAATGAGCCAGGTTTTTAAAAAATATATCTCTGAAGTACTTGGTTGTTAATGTCATACAGCACAGTAGCAACAGTTCTTTGAGCTGTTTAAAACACTTGTGGCGCAACCATACATTAGCAACCCATCCATGATGTGGTCTCATAGCCATAACACATGAAAGCAGCAGCAGCGTAGTA